GGGCAGGGTATTTTTTGGGGGGATTTTGGTCAATGTATTTTTATTATTAGGGGGGCATTTAATAAAAGGGGGATAGGATTACTGCAGGAAAATACTTGTTGAAAGGGTTCTCATCGTCCTTGTGCTTCTCGACAGCGATGTTACGCAGGGGAAAGAACTTCCTGAGCTTTTCCTTATGGTTGCAGCACCGTAAGCGCCGGCTCCCACATCTCGTACGACAAGTCCCGGGCTTTTTACACTGGCTTTTCCAGTGGCCATCCATCCAGCAAATACTGCACGAGGTCTTGCTTGGTGGCAACCATCCGAGGATCGTATAGCTATTACCTTCGCGGTCTTGCTTGTCTGCCCGACCTCTCCCGACCGGGTGACAGTGCCGCTCGTCCAAAGCCTTGCCTCTTCCCTTCGAATCACGTGCCTTAGACACGAGGCGGATTGCATACTTTGCTTCCAGCGCATCCTGTACCTCGTAATATTCTTTGGCACTTTTGAATTGCCAAGGGAACGGCCGGATGGGTACGTTGTCGCCGTCCTCATTCTTACGAAAGCCACGATGTCCAAGGGTCCATATAGTGCCTTACCGACTCGTTCCTGCCATTCTGGGCTGAGGGGATAGTACCTTGAGGCTGGGTACTCCTCGTCGCTTCTGATGGTACGGCCAGCTTTCCATTCGTCCTCATATACACGTTCTCGCCATTCCGATCCTTTCGTTTCTTCGGGAGGTTGGCGTTTTCCTTGAGGTCCCCAAAACGGTCCAGGCTTCGGCTTTCCTCCTTCAGGCTTCTTGCTACTAGGCTCGGCTGACTCCAACAAACTGGAACCATTGGTCGGGCTTTGACCTTCTTGTCACCGAGTTGAGCCGAATGGTTTAGGGATCAGGAGGGGAAAACTGTAGGTAAAACTCTTCCAAATATATTCCAGTAGAACGCAAGAACATGTATGTAAATAAAATCTTCACATGAAGCTCAAGCGACAACACAGTCAGATGCACTCACTCTTTTGCAGGATGGAAGGGACCACCGCTGCTTCAGCATGCCACGCACTGTTTGTCGTGCAATGCGCATGCGAACCTCCCCCCTCGACGCATTCACTTTGTGAAAGCTTTCAGACTTCTACGGCAGAACTTTGTTGCTCCGGAAGTATCGGAGGAAGCAACGCACACACTGTAAGACTGTCACTGCCTGGTCTCTCCGGAAGTACCGGAGGACGCAACGCACACACTGTAACTTTCTTGCGAAGCGAAGCGGAAGTTCCAGAACCGAAGGTCTAAAGGGACCGGGAAAGACACGGGCATCCGGTTTGCACTAAAACCCACTAGGGACGGGCGGTTGGGACCAAAAGAAAACTACCTCCAGGCCAAGGCTGCGCGGCCAACACTCTTCACCAGCATGTCTGTCCAAAGAGGCACTTGAAGAACTTTCAAATTCAAGCCCAGGTTTTCAAAATACGCCAGTCAAGCTCAAAGGAAGCATGAGGATTTTTTCTTCGAGCTGGCAAAGCCCAGCTTGCACGGAGACCCCCCCCACCCACCCGGATCAACTCTCATGACAATCTTTCAGGGTAAACCCGAAATGTTTGTCACCGAGTTGAGCCGAATGGTTTAGGGATCAGGAGGGGAAAGCTGTAGGTAAAACTCTTCCAAATATATTCCAGTAGAACGCAAGAACATGTATGTAAATAAAATCTTCACATGAAGCTCAAGCGACAACACAGTCAGATGCACTCACTCTTTTGCAGGATGGAAGGGACCACCGCTGCTTCAGCATGCCACGCACTGTTTGTCGTGCAATGCGCATGCGAACCTCTCCCTTCCGAAGGCGCAGGTGCAGGGCACGACCAACTGATCACCAAGCAGTCTTCTCAGCGAGTTTGATCTTCTTTGAGGTGCGCGCCTTGACAGGATTAACCATTTTGAAGTCCTTGCGCTTTTGATCAAATTCGGCGTAGGCATTCTGCAGGGAAAGGAAAAGCTCTAGCGGCAAATCCCCTAACTCCAAAGGAACCCGCTTACCTACATCAAACCCGTCGAAGATTTCGTTAGTTAAGTTGTCTGCTTCCTGGTTCTCCTCGCGGGGCCGCCAGTGAAGACGCAGCTTGCCACCAATGTCGATCAAGACATCGGCCATCTGCATCATCAAGCCTTGGGGAGTCCTTATGACAGGTTTTCTACACTCGGGGTTGTGGGGCCTATGCTGGCTGGTTTCGAGTGGATCAAAGGCCCGGTTGTCCACATCAAAAATGCCTTGTTGTCCACCTCAAAAGCCCCGGTTGTCCACATCAAAAGGCCTTGTTGTACACCTCAAAAGCCCCGGTTGTCCACATCAAAAGGCCTTGTTGTCTGCGCACGCACACAATTTTTTGTACATTGCGAAATTTTCTATATTGCGCAATTTCGGACACTTTTTGATTTTGTGGATAACATTTTCTTGTGGACACATCTTGTGGACCAAGTCATGCGGTCTTGCGGACAAAGTTTGTGGACAAAGTTTGTGGACAAAGTTTGTGGACAAAAGTTTGTGGAGAAAAGTTTGTGGGCAAAAGTTTGTGGACAACAATTTGTGGGCAGAAGTTTGCGGACAGACAACACTTTGTGGACAGAAGTTTGTGGACAAACCAGGCTCTGCTGAAAACAAGTTGTGGACAACTGTCTGGTTTTGACACAAAAACCTGTCGCATCTAAACTTTAGGCTTGTATCCGCATGGTTTTGCCGCCTATGTCGGCAAGGTGCCAACACTTTGTCCGCAAGTTGTCTGCGCAAGTTGTCCGCACAGTGTCCGCGTTTTTCCGCACCGTGTCCGCAAGTTGTCCGCTCCGTGTCCGCACTTTTTCCACACCTTGCCAACAAGTTGTCCGCGAGATTTCCACACCGCATCCGCAAGTTGTCCACACCGTGTCCGCGCCCTGTCCGCTGATCTCCACACGGACACGTGCTGCGCACGGCACACAGCTGTCACGAACTATGCCCACACACGCACGAGAACTTTATGGACACGGTGTGCTTTAGCGTTAACGACCATAGTGTATGTAAACAGGACTGTCTTTGCTAACCACAATGTGTGTGGACAAACGTGCTTTGGCGACCCCAACGTATGTGGACAAACGTGCTTTCGCGGCCCCAATGTGTGTGGACAATCGTGCTTTGGCAACCACAATGTGTGTGGACAAACGTGCTTTGGTGACCGCAATGTGGTCCAGCGTGTCCGAAGTTTAGACTGACCCTAAAAACGTGTTGGAGGGACCCCCCAAATCAAGCCCATAAGGGGCCAGCTGACCGAGCCGCCCTTCTTGAGCGCTTGCGGGTTAGAGCGTTTGTCTGTGCCAGCATAGATGAGGGTTGTCCAATCTCTACCTTGCTCGCCAGCTTCAAGCCAACCAAATGCTTTCAAGGCAGCCATGGTTCCCAGGAACTCAGCAGCAGTAGAAGCCCACTGGGAGCTTCCATCTTCCTTGAAGAGCCAAGGGGCATCCTTCGGGAAGAGCTTCAAGCAGAACCAAGGCGCATTCTCTGTGCCCCTGTTGCCGGTCAACCCCAGCCGCCCAAGACCACATAGCCAACTGCACACTTCGCATCCGTACGGAAGGACTGTTGGGGTTTAGCTGCGGGCGCCAAGGCAGGCTGGAGGAGCCGACGCCCCTTGCAAAGCTGTGACCTGATGTATACCAACGCGATGTGCACCAGCAGAGGCATCCTCGCTACAGTTCCCCGAGCTAGCACTGCTGCCCAGGAGTGTAGCGGCGACAAGAAAGGCTTAAGCCACCTCAGCACCTGGCCCACAAACGTGAGCCGGCCAGTTAGCTCGATGAAGTGCCTGCCAAGCACCATCCAGCCATTGGCCTCTGCGCGATCAATCCAATCGATCACCCATCGGCAACGTTTCTCTGAAAGGCCAGCTGACCACGAATCATATGACAAGTGATAGCCAAAAAAGACTATGTGCAACCCACCTCGGAACTTACGGTAGGCGAACGGAGTGCCCACGGCTTCGTAGGCGGCAATCATCATCCAGATCACCAGATATTTCTGGGGACCTGCAGCAACTAAATGTAAATCGTCTACGTAGATCATTTGCATAGCCCAAAGCGACATCATGAGCCTCACAACCCAACGGCCGACGCAGCCGAATAAACGAGTCCACCAATAGGCGGCGGAGCTGATGCCGAATGTGCCCACAGTGTTGAGCCAAATAACTCTATCCTGGCTCCGCGCCCGGCAACCGAGCTTAGGCCAATCGGCCTTCCGAATGAGCACCAACCGGTGAGCAGATGAAATGTCTGCAGAGATCCCGAATACGGCTTCACGCGTCTCCTGAGAGACCGCCACGCATTCAAGAATCTCGTCGGGACCCGGAACCTCGAGTCTGTCAAGGATTTTATAGAATTATTGAGCTGCACGCCGTGCGTCCCGTCATGGAGGGGACGAACGTCCCCATTCGGCTTTTCGAAAGCACCCATAGCACTGATCAAAAGTTTGCCAACGCCGAACTCTTCAGCAATCGCTGACTCAGTACTAGGGTACATGCGGCCGAGTGCCTCTTCTTTGCGAAAATGTTCTTCGAGTTGGTCACCTGACAATTCAGCAGAGGAATAATTAACCATATCTGGATTGTATTCGCTTTCATCAAGCCGCCTCTCTTTGACTCTTGCCCGAAAAGCTTGAGGCACGCGTCCCAAGGGGCTGACATCACCCAACGGCACGCCCCGCGCCCTGAGTCAAGATGGCCCAATCTGGATCTCCCAACTCTCGTAGAGACTGTGACAAAAAGTGCAAGTAAAACGGTTGTCTCTCCGGCACTGTCAAAGACAACTGGGGGTCAGGTGTCAAAGAGGCAAGTTCCCCCCGTAGTCGTTGCAGGGATTCGGGCTTAAAGGGGGATGACTCAATGCGGCCGGCCGCAAGCTTGAACGACATCGCCTTGACATCGTCAAGCTCCGACAAAACAAAGTTACGGATGACTCTCTGCAAAGCTTCCGCATGACTCAGCTCACTCCAACTGCACAGCCTGCCCCTTTGCTCTGGGCGCCAACGTCCGGGAGAGCATAAGCCCAGGCCGTCCACAAACTCGTGAGGATCCTTCGCGTGGCGACATGTCAAGGGTTGACCAAAGGCACGGCTCGTAACGGGGTCAAAAGGCTCATCTCCGCAGGGCAACCCCTAAGCCATCGGCGCACCTAGGGGGACCGGGCTCCAACGGAGAGGCAGGCGGGGCAGGCACTACACTAGCCGAGACTAAACCCTCCTGGTCAGAATCCGAATCAGAAACTACAACCAACCCTTCGGCACATTGAAACTCACAGCCAATGGTCATCAAGTCTGTCGCGTCCGTCGCGCACAGAGAATCAGAGTGGTTACTGACTGATGCGCCCAACTCCCCTCGTGTAATGGGCGCAGCTGGAAACCCAGCTGGCGAAGCAGCTGAAGATTTGAGGGAAGCTGATCAATGTGGCGTACAGAAAAGCTAACTAAGACTATGCGATTGCCTTCCCAAGGTTCTGTAGCGTGATAACATTCGTGAGCAGGCAAGACACATGGCCTCTGCGCGACATCAAGAAGCACACCTTTAGTGGGCACGCCTTTGATAAGGCGTTCGACTGTTCCTAAAGCAAGTTCGCACGAAATTTCTCCATGAGTAAAGTTGCTAAGACCAATTGCGAGGTTGTCGAACGGCGCATTGTAAACATCTTTATGCATCAAGGTCTGCACGTTAACGAAAATGGCCAGGGATGTAGATGGATACCCCGGAAAAGTCTGAGCAAGCAACCTCGCGAAAATTTTCACGCAATGTGGGAATGAATGACATGATTTGCGAAGACCTACCAAGCCACCTTTAGCATAAGCCCCGGCAAAGAATGCACCGCCAGCCTTTTGGCCCGTGGCCAAGTGAGGCTCCTCGAGCTCGAGGAGTGGCACCAATGATGCGGCATCCTGAGTGGTCAAACGACCGCTGGGCAGCAAACAGGCTAAGTCTTCGGCTGAAGGCAACGCGGGAGAAGTTTGCAAAGCATCAGTGCTAGACAGCACCTGCACTGGACTCATGATTAATTGTGCAATGTATTGGCAAAGCGGAGGCGGATAAGCCTTGGCTCCCGAAGTGCGATAAGCATCGCCTTTCCAGCCTACCAAAGGCTCGTGCCACCTGTGTTTGCAGCGCTTCAACGCGCCTGAATAAAACCCCGAAGACGTGAACTGAGCCCAACCCATATGCAACGGAAGTGCAGCTGGCAGGTTGGACAACAGACGTGTTGGCTTGGAGGAAGAACCTCCAGAGTCACATTGATGAAGTGCCCAAGTCGCGCCATTGGCGACTAAAGCGCGTACCTCCGCAAGTTGCCAAATGCTCGCCGGGGACTCTCCCTGAGATGTTGCACCCAAATCTTCGGGATGTTCCCACAAAAAGAATTTGCCAACTGAGAGTTGCAACTGCACTGCGCGAATGCACTGATGGATGAAGAAATTGCCCCGATCGGCGAGCTCTCGCTGGCTCGCTTCCAACCAAGGAAAACCCCAGACATAAGCAGAATTGCGCAGCGGCTTGGCACCGAATTTGCCTGCATATCGGAAGCGTGCCCGACTCCATGTGGAGCAGGGCGGGGACAGCAACAGCACGTCCCACTCGCCTGCAGTGATTTCTGTAAATATTTTGTTCCAGTTCGCTGAATCCAGCAAGTCCGAAGTCGCATCACGCTTGATATCGACCTCTCTCATAACAAGATTGTATCCTTCCGCAGATGAAAATTGTGACAAGAAAGATCGTACATCCCCGGGCCTCTGGACACCAGCAAACAAGTAAAGAACGTGAAAATCCTCGGCTGTCTGTCAGTCGTTGGCATCGGCCTTGGCGAAGTGATCCTGCCAGTGCTTCCATGCAGGATGCGGACCGTAGCATCCACGAACCTGGCAGCAATGCACCATGCCACAGTTGCCATCACACCCTTCATTGGAGTACGCATAGCAGATCAAGCGACCGTCTGGGGTACGGCCCGTGGTGCCTTTCCCATTCTTGGCCTCGCCCTTGCCGTTGCCCTTGCTACCTTTATCGCCCTTCTTGCCCCCTTTCTTATCTTTCCCCTTTCTACGACCCTTCCAATCATTGCGCTGCCACTTGTTGAAATCCTCTTGGCCCCAGTACTGGGGACGCTTCTGCCAACCATCACGTTGAGGGGGCTGTAAAATACTGTTCTTTCAATTGGAAGTCTTTGACGACTTCAGCCAAAGTCTCTTTGAGAGGGCGGCTCTCCCGGCTGGCTTGCAGCACGGCTTCTCGCCGCATTTCGTATTCGTAGTTGAGGACGACGATCCAAGGCGGACGTAGGGCAGAAAGATCGGACTTGCCCTTGCCTTTGCCAGGAGTTGGAACTTGCATCAAATAGCATTTGTCTCCTAAGATAAAATTCGCGTAGTCAAGCCAGACCTCAGGTGTCATGTCACGAAAGAAGACCTTGTTCTTGTACTTGGAACCCAAGAAACACCACATATTGCCTTCAATCCTCAGTGTTGTACGGAGCTGCTCTGTGTTCTGCGGCATCTCTCCTTTGCTCTTTTGTTTGATCAATCTCACATGCCCCGTAGTACCCACAGTTGTCTGTATACCCATGGTTCTTGCATTCCGCTTTGGTGACTTCTGTAAGGGAGGAGGCCACATTCTACTCAGAAAACATATGCAAAACTCTGATGTATATCGTTCACAATTCAAAAGTTATGCAAAAGCTATAAAAAGGTAAATATATTCCCAGTCAGAATATATAAATCACCTTCAATAAATATATAATCCTTCAGAAGCACGCGCGGACAAGACTCACAACTTTTCCGTCTTTGCGATCGGGGGTCGAGTGAGTGGACCGAAGGTCTCGAGAGCACGGGCAACACAATTGCCGCTCACGAGCACCCCCC